TGTATTACTTTGTTTTATTAAATACAGCGAACTGACATACATTACATTGCCAAAAGTATCGGGACGCCTGCCTTTACACACACATTAACTTTAATGGCATCCCAGTCTTAGTCCGTGGCCATGGAGGTGATTGGGACACCTGAATCTAATGTTTTGGAGGGGTGTCCCAATATACCAATACTTTTGGCAATATAGTGTATTTGGCACACTTAAATGATTCAGATAAAACACATTTTAATATTACCGAAAGATAACCTGAGTATATACGCACACAAAGTAAGTTTGGGTGAAGGAACTTGACTGGCCTGCACAGAGTCCTGACCTCAACCCCATAGAACACCTTTGGGATGAATTAGAGTGGAGACTGCGATCCAGGCCTTCTCATCCGACATCAGTGCCTGACCTCACAAATGTGCTTCTGGAAGAATGGTCAAACCTTCCCATAGACACCCTCCTAAACCTTGTGGACGGCCTTCCCAGAAGAGTTGAAGCTGTTATAGCTGCAAAGGGCGGGCCAACTCAATATTGAACCCTACAGCCTAAGACTGGGATGCCATTAAAGTTCATGTGCATGTAAAGGTAAGCGTCCCAATACTTTTGGCAATATAGTGTACCAAAGGCAGATGTACAAAAATTCCATTGAACGGGGGAGTGCTGAGCTCCCTTTGACCATGCCAAAGAAAGATTGAAAGGGTGCAAGTATGAGGGCATGGAGGATGTCTTGTTTGGAAGACTCATGGAAGCCCATTGACTAGGCTGGGGTAAGGGGTATTCAGTCCTATGGGCATTCTTCGTATGTAACATCCATAGATGTCAACTTGTGAATGGGGGGGGGGGGGGGGGGGGGGGGGGAGTTCATGGCAGTTTGTTGGAGCATCAAAACGACTGTCATTATGGGGAGAAAACGGAAAGGAAAGTGAAGACAAAGAGGGAAGGGAGCAGGCTATAAGAAAAGGAGACCAGGGGTAGTACTGCAGAGGGAAGGGGTGGGTATGGGGGTCCCGTGAGACTCAGCTGGCAATAGTGTACATCTAGTGCATAGTAGTCGGTTACAGTGAGAGAAGGAAGTGGTCTAGGCACAAGTGCCTGTTGTGGTCCAGCTATGGGTACTTCCTCCCATATATTCGCAGTCCTCACCTAGGCGAGGATGACATCCCTTACCCCCCCCCCCCCCCCCCCCCCCCCCCCCCCCCCCCCACTCTTAGAACATGTCTCCTATCCCAGCAGGCTGCAGGGCCATCCACAAAGCACTGTTCATGCTCACACATGCACAGAGCAAAGTCTGCCGTGCTTCCTCAGGAAGCTGATTCCTGTATCCAAGATGGTGATACCAGTGACCTGTTGCATCAAGAAGAACCGGCTGTGGGAAGACCGCGCTGGACTCTAGGCACTAGTAAGTACTTGATTTTTAAATTTCAGCAGCTACAGTATTTGTAGATGCTGACTTTAAAAAAAGAAAAAAACAAAACTGAACTTGGTTTTTAACTTACTGCTATGACATAGGTGACCAGTGACCCCTTTATTTGATAGCATGTTTACAGCTTCTCTTTAATGAGGGATTTAGAAGTCTTTTAGACCACTGATATCTCACATGCCTATCACTGAAGATAATGAAGCACAGATCACGTTCCATGATCTTCTTTCCCTGGCCACAACAGCTGGGGAAAGTGACAACAGAAACTGGAAATGATGTAACACACGTCACTTTCAGGTTCTTACTAGCTAGGAGAGATTGGTGAATGGATGCTGTTCTCCCTCTCCTCTACCCCATGACATGTTCCTTCCTGGTCCCAGGCCCACAGGTGGAAGAGCAGGGCCTGGGAAACATGGGGGGCAGGCGCAACTAACTGGGCCAGTGGAAACAATCAGGGGGCTGTACAGCCGCCCAATATCTTCAGTCTGACAGCAGATAGTAGGCTTGTCAGATGTGTGTAAAACATACATGACGTTCTGTACATCGGTAGTAATAAATGGGTTAAAGTGTATATAAACCCAAGAACAAAAATGTTACATATTCCAGCTTACCAGTCCTTAGTTGTGGTGGCCATATTAGTTTTTTTCTTCATTTCTTATATTTTTTGAGATTCTGACGGTAACATTCTTCCTGTTGTAGGACAACTCACTGACTGTGCTGTATCTAAGGGAGCAGGGTTGTCACCCTAGGGCAGTGTTTCTCAACTCCAGTCCTCATGGACCCCCAACAGGTCATGTTTTCAGGATTTCCATTATTTTGCACAGGTGATTTGATCAGTTTCACTGCCTTAGTAATTACCACAGCTGTTTCATCTGAGGGAAATCCTGAAAACATGACCTGTTGGGGGTCCATGAGGACTGGAGTTGAGCAACACTGCCCTAGGGTATGACTACAGACACCTCTCCCTTCTCCTTAGGGGTAGGCTGTTCACATTTGTACACTTGAACTTGAAGCTCAAAAAGGAACATGAACTTTTTTTGGAGCTGCGTTAAAGTATAACTAAAGGCAATGTTTTTTTTAGTTTTTGGATAGAGTGGAGAGGAATTAGAACACCTGTCAGGCTTTTATTGCTGTCTGTGCCCCCATTAGGGAGATTCACCCTCTCTATTTGTTCTGGTGACCCTTCCCAATGAAAGTGAAAAATCCAAAATTTGGAGTGTGCACGAAGGAAAATCTTCCAGTGGCCTCACCATTTCTAGTGACTACCAGGGATTTTCGGGAGTATGTCACCAGCTGTCTACTGGGATGTTCACATCACACATCCCAGGCAGGAAGGAGTATCCTGTGATTTTGGGAGGAGCATCGTCCATTTATGCCAATTCCAGAATAAGTGGGACAATCCCGGTCAGGCCTGTGTCATTAGTCTTTACTTCTGGAATGCAGAGGAGGGGAGGTGAGTCCGTGATGGTGTTTCGGTCCGGTCCATTTCAGCTGCTCAACCCAGTTTCACAGGCATCCAGGCGAATGGTGCCAAATGTAGACCATGTGTGTTTGGGGTCATTCCAGCACGTCTGTCAAATTGGGATGAGCTTTTGTGTCCCAGTACTGTTACATAAGCCACTCGCATGCAGAACCTGGTGACTGAAGCTGCATAAACACACCACCCAATCACAGACTGTTTTTCCTTTTCCTGTTACCTGTGCCGGAGAATGAACCAATCTGGCCATACAGAGAACACGGGGGAAAAAAAAAACATTTTGTATGATAGAGACGAAGTAGATTAGCCTGGAATAATGAGGCAGATTTACTAAAGGAGTTGAGAATCTTCACTCGGAAAATGTGTAATCACTTTTATTATCCAATCATGTGAAATGCATCCTAGCAGTTAAAATAATTGTAAATGTTTAAATTATTTTTTCTAAAATGACAAACATATTATATTTACCTGCTCTGTGCAAAACCTTTGCACAGAGCAGCCCCAGTCCTCCTCTTCTGGGATGCCCTGCCAGCATTCCTGGCTCTGCCAATGACTCTTGTTGCAGCCAGCCTCCTGTGAGAAGAGGGGAGAAAAGAGCAGCACTTCTGTAGACCGGCACAGCACTGGATCGAGATTGCACTCAGGTAAGTAATTTGGGGGGGGGGGGGGGGCTGGGGGGGGGATTCTGACATGGAAAGGTTTTTAACCTTAATGCAGAGAATCCATTCAGGTAAAAAAAACTTTGACTTTTACAACCATTTTAAGTATTAAAGCTGGATTCAAGGTGTGGATTTTATTGCAGTTCCATTGGTCCAGCTTGGACCAATGTAAGTAGGCATATTTCATACTTGTGGGAGCTGATATCACTTTGGTCATTGCTGCCTATACAATGATTGCTGCTGTCTTCCTAGTCCCAGCTGTCCTGCTGCATTGTAACCATAGGGGATCACCCATTCAGCACAGCCATGCACATAACAACTTATCTTTTTCTCAATCAATGAAAGATGTTCTCTGATTGAACAAGGTCGAGAGACAGTGCGGCAATCTCCACCTCATCCAATCAGAGAACACCCAAACGAGCAACTCCCCATGGTTAATATGCAGCAGGGCAGATGCTCGGCCCAGGACCCAAAAGACAGTGGTAATCACCATAGTAACAGCTACTACTACAATGATTTCCAGTTTCCACAGGTATCCAACGGACACCGCTGATCACGTGAGGTGGTAAAAGGCCAATCACAGCAGTCTTTTACCATGTTACAGCACTGAGCGAACTATTGGCGCTTTATAAATACTGTATAATAATGTTATCAGCTGTGTCCAATGACACAGCAGATCACTGAGTAAATGCAATTGCTGGTTATCAGCTGCACTTTCCTTACGCTGTCACAGTGTGAGGAAAGTACTGCCAATAACCGGCAATTGTCAGAGGACGGATCGGTACCAATCATCAGGGCACTCATGATCAGTGCAAAGCAGTGCCACCCTCCTGAGCCCAGCAGTGCCGCCCAGCTGTGCCTAGTAGTGACACCCGCCTTTGCCCAGCAGTGCCGCCTATCAGTGCCCATCATTGTTGCATATCAGTGCCGCCTATCAGTGCAGCCTCATCAACGCACATCAGTGAAGGAGAAAAATTACCTGTTTGCAAAACTTTATAATAGAAACAAAGAAAAACTTTTTATTTTTTCAAATGTATTTGCTCTTTTTTTGTTTATAGCGCAAAAAATAAAACACCCAGCAGCAAGTAAATATCACCAAAAGAAAGCTTTATTTGTGTGAAAAAAAATAACTTTCATATGGTACAGTGTTGCTTGACCACACAATTGTCAAAGAACTACAGTGCTGAAAGCTGAAAATTGGCCTGGGCATGAAGGGGGTATAAGTGTCCAGTAGGCAAGGGGTTAAATCTTTATGCTGTAACATTATTTTTAAGCAAAATGATAGTGACATAATCACAATATATTGCCCAGTCAGTATAAAACATCAATGAAGTGTATACCTTAAGTAAATTAGAGGTATTCTTAATCTTTTTTGTTTTTTTTTCTCCCCCCCCCTAGAATATTGAGGAGGCGTGGGGAAGCAATCCGATTCAAACAAATAAAGAAGGAAATGGAACCCCCTGGACCACCTGAAAGGAGTCTGAGCTGGAATGCAATGGAGCAGATCAGGTTAAAAAAAAAAAAAAAAAGATTAATGAAACCTAAACCAGCACTGCATACACTTATAAAAAAACATGTATAGAAATTGCTTTACTTTTAAGAGGTGATTGGACAAGTAAGCATTGATATTACCTCCTGATATGGAGAGCACGTGATACACTCCCTTTCCTCTCCAGATACAGCACTGATTAAGCAGCTGATCACTAGTCACCAGTGCTATCACACGGGGACAGGGAGACTGTCTCCAAACACTTTGCTCACCTTGTGTAAGGTTTGATCAGGGTGACTTGTAGCTTGAATATAACCATAACTTATCTTCATTCCCATTGGCAAACAGTGCAGCTAGGAAGTGAAGGAATGGTAAATATAAGCAGCTGGATAAAAATGCAGTTAAAGTGGAACTAAAAGTCTGACCTGGAAAACTGAGCCAACAGGCTTGTCTCTTTTGAAGTAAAATAAAACAAACCTGCCTGCTCCAAATCATCTGTAAACTGTACAGTGAGCTCCGGATACATTTTGGCACAGTACCTGTGTGCTGGGATGTGTGCACGAGAGTGATGTCATCCTACAATGGCTGATCAAGATACAAAAAAAATGCAGTTGTGAGAGGCTATGGAGAGGATATCCTCGCGGGAGTTGGACTGTTGAAGCAGAACTAAGTATTGTGGACTTTAGTTCCACTTTAAGGGCTCGTTCACACTTGGCTGTTTTACCAACACTTGCCAAACGCCCCTATTGCGTTTGGCAAGCGTGTTGGTCCGGCGTTTGCGGAGCGGTTTTTAACGCTCGGCAAACGCCGCATGCGCAGTTTAGCGGAAGTTGCTAGGCGTTTGCGGAGCGTTAATAACGTCCCACAAACGCCTATAATGCAGTTTGAGTGGCATTACCGCTCCGCAAACGCCCCGCAACCGCACCGCAAACGCAGGCCGGGCGTTTGTGGAGCGGCACCATAGACGAGAATAGGAGGATTCAAAGCCTCCTGACTCGACCAGAGGCATCCGTTTTGCCACGACGCAAACGCTCCCGTTAGAACAGCACCATGTGCTGTAATGTGCAGAATTGGCAGAGGCGTTTGGGAAGTGGTAAAAACGCTTCCCAAACGCCTCTCTGCCGCCTGCACACAACGCTAGTGTGAACGTAGCCTAAGTGAACCTGTTGCTTTGCCAAGGCACAGGTTTACATTAACCTAGCCAGACTCTTTCGAAAATGTTCGGAGGTTTGTGTCCAACTGGTAAATACATTTTTGTATGATCTGACAGATTTCAATTGACTGTTATTTAATACAAAATTGGAATACAAAATGTAACTGCTGTATATACTTACCTCACCTGCAGCCACACCACCAATTGCTGCTCTACTGAGGAATCGTCTGCTAAAATGTCTTAAATATAAAACTGACACCTCGGTCTCCCGACCCCCCACTTCATTCAGTAGTCCTGCCCACTCCTACATCACTACTGTGTCCTGTAGTGACATAGGAGTCGGCAGAAGTGACTTTAGAGGACGATTCATCTTCAGTGAAACAACATTCAGTGGTGCGTGCAGCGGGAGAGGTAATTTTTTTTTTTTCCTTTTTTTGTGCAGGTGATTCTGCCTGCGGATCCAAATCGCAAAGTGTGGAGCCTAAATACAAAAGTAACAATGTTGTTTTGTATCTCTCTATTTCCTGTCTGAACAGTGATGATAAACATTATCTAGAGGCGAAAATTCTCTTTTTGCATGGCAGAGGGACAGACATGCTACACCAGTTCTATGTACTATGATGACAATTTTTTTTTTTTTAAAGTAAAGCAAAACATACTGTGTGGGGACACGGGAGACAGACAGACATGCTAATACCCATTCTGCATCTGATGATGTTTCTTTTTTTAATCTCCCTGGCGGTATTCCCGAGTGTAGCTCGGGGTAAAGTTTCAGTACCACAAGAGGTAACCCTGAGCTACACTCGAGCTTACCATGCGGCGCTGCTCTGCGATCCCTCGGTCACTTACCATGTCCTGCGCTCCCGCGATGTCCCTCCTGCAGTGTCCCCGGCAATGTAATCCGGCGGATGCCGGCATCTGTAATCTGGGTTCCGTCCTCTGCGAGCGTCGGGACGTACGGGGGGGAAATTTGAAAATGACAAAAAGTGAAATTCACAAAAATCACATAGTAAAACATTATTGTACCAAACCATTTCACATATATTTTGTCCCTAGTGCTTTGTCCTGTGCCCTGCCTTCATTTTTACTGTTTGTTCTGCCTGGGAATTGAGAAACGTCCATGGCGTCCAAAAAGCGAACTTTTAGGTCAAAATCTGTTTTAGATCAGCTAGAGAACAGCGATAGTAAATCAGAACCACTTGCAGAATTGAGTGACAATAATTCGTGGGGAAATTCGTCATCAGACACTGAAAACGATTTTGCGACATTGCTCAGTGATGTGCACACTTCAAATTTCAGTGTTTTTGGTTTGATTATATTTAAATGATTATTTATTAAATTATAAATTATAATTTATGATTTCGTGTTTCAAGTTTTATCCTACCCGGGATGTTTACTAGACTCTTGTTCGAACAGATTTCAGTGAGTTATTCCTAAGAATTACAGGCCTACAATAAAAAACGCCAAATTTTCATGCAAAATGGTACCGCTTTCAGCACCAAAAATCTGAAATAATCATACCGCCAGGGAGGTTAAATAAATTACAACATGCTGTATATACACAGCAACTTCTGCTTTCATTTTCAGAGATACTGCTTAGGAACAAATATACTACACCTGTTCTGTATTCTAGCATCGTGTGGCATTTGATTCATTTCTTTTTTTCCTCTCAGTGTGCAACACATCCAGTGTCCTTAACTTAATAAATGTGTTTTTTTTTTTTTCTCTTTTATGTAGATATTTGAAACAGGAGTTCCCTGAAGAGTGGACTTTACAGCGGCTTGCTTCTGGATTTAATGTTAGTACTGATGTCATCAGGAGAGTACTGAAGTCAAAATTTGTCCCATCACAAGCTCGGAAGATGAAGCAGGATGCTGTTGTTTCCAGTCGCCTTGGGCAGCTCTCCTCAAAGACAAAGCAGGACCAGCTTAAGTTGATGTCTTCTAAACATCCAACACAACCCATCTTATTGGGATGGGAATAGTGACAGGCAGCTGCTAGTCAGTCACTCATCAGCGCTTCTTCCTTCTCCCAAAACATCTGACATCTCTCATGTAGCTGTGCAGAGAGAGGGTGCGCAGAGACACTTACATAATTCCCTAGTACCTCAAAGCACCCTTCACAAGGTCCAGGAGGCTACACCTTCTCTAGCTGGGACTAGTGCAAATCCAAGCAGACAGGAAGAACCTGTGCTGAGTGTGCCTGTGGAAGAGGAGTGGAAGACACTTGATGAGATGTGGGATGGGGAGATATTAAGTGATCGTGAACTGGAAGAATTAGCAAACAGTGGACTTGAAAATAAGATACAAGTTGTACAAAAAGGGAGAGAATATTTTGATAGTGATGGCAATTTTCTCTACGAATCTGAATGTAAATTTAAATAAATAATAATTGCTGTTTACTAAAATAATGTGTCATTTCATTTCCGTGCAGCATGATCATAATTAACAGCAGATTAATACAAACTTTATTAATTCAAACTTTAGTCCTGCTGCAGTATGGAGTTACCATGGGCGTAACTACAGGGGTTACATTCGTGACCCGACCACATGCTCCATGCACCAGAGGGCCTGTGCGGCTCCCCTGTACATCTGGATAGGAAGGGTGGCAGGGATGGCATATAAAGGAACCAATGCTTCCATTTTCTTTCCTGCAGCTGCTGAATGCCCACTTCTCTTCTCCCTCCCGCAGGCATTCAGTGGCTGCAGGAGGAAAATGGGAGTATTTGGTTACTCTTTAAGCTGCCCCCACGATCCAGCCTCTTTCTGCTGCCTCCAGCCCCCTGTGCTCTCTCCTGGCCCCTCCTCCTAATAGGATGGAGAGCGGGGAAGGCCTTCCCTGACTGAATACACAGAGCCAATGGTCAGTACCTATCACTCGCCACTCTGTCCATTCATAACCGAAGCATAGTAAACTGTGTTTACCATGCTTAGGTTTCTGAATGAACTGGAAGCTCTGTACAGAGCTATTGCTGTCCATTCTTTCTGTGGTGCTGAGGGTTGTGTCAATGGCACCAATGCACTGCAACCGGGAGCCGAACAGTGCAGCCCCACTGATTTACATGAACAAGATTAACATATGGTGGCACCTGTCAGCTTGAAGTGATGTGCAAAATTTGCTGAAGAGATGCAAAGTATCATCTATGGCATGTGAACTGCCCCCCACAGCTATATACTAAGCTTTAGGTGGACAGTCAGAGGATGGTAGAACCACAGCTGAACCACTTGTTTATGCTGCCCCTGTAAAGGAGGCCTTTTGCTAACATTACACAGCTCAAATTTGTTGGCACCACCCGGCTAAACACACTTTGCTTGAAAATTCAAAGGGGCTGAATGAAACATTCTTGGCTGAATAGTGACTGCATCCCTGTTCAGGTATTTGACAATTGTGGGTGTCAGCCACTGAATACAATTACTGGCAGGGGAGATTCCCTCATCCATGCTCTTCAGCATAGATGGAGGAATCTATATATTTCACTCACTCAGCAAAGTGTGGTTATTTATAAAGATGGCCAGATTTCATGATTAGCATCCAATATTTTAATTAAAGTGGCTGCACATAGTGGCACATAAACTGTCATCGCCCACTGACTCTGGAGGTTGTGCCCAAAAAAAAAAAAAAAAAACACATAGGTAGAGGGCAAGAGATTAGTCACCAATATTACTTGTGGTCTCCCTGCTGCTATGTTCTCCATCACTGCCTTACCATGCCCTTTTCTGCACCATGTCTCTGTGTGGAGGCAGCCAACTCAGTAGAGGTAGGATGCCTCAGCACAGAGAACAGTAAGCAGCAACCAAATCTTACTCAAAATCAGTGCTTGATCTGAATCAGTGTCAGAGTTATGGTTAGGGTAAAAAGGTCATTCTTGGGATCAAAAGGTAAGGGTCAGTGAATTTTCAGGTAGGATTTAAAAAAAAAATAAAAAATTAGTGTCCGTGACATTGAGTTTTTGGCAGGATAGAAAAAAAGCTTACTGTGCATTATTGTAGAGCGGTGAAAAGAAACTCATTTATGGTTACAGGAAGCAATTTAAGTTATTTTTTCCAAGCGGTATGCTACCAAATATTAAATTGAGGGTGCCAATAATTTTGTCCAGACCATTTTTGGGGTTGTGTGTGGAATGTGTCAGATTTGGATTTTTTTTTCTCTCCACTTTTTTGTATTTTACCAATACAAACAAAAGAAATAAACACAAGAATGCCTAAACATTTCTAATTGTAACGATTTTGTGGTGCTTTATCTGACAGAAATGAAGGGTGCCAATATTTTTGGCCATGACTGTATGTGCAATTGACTGGAGCAAGAAATATACATTGAAATTTTTGAATGAATATTCTTAGCCCCCAAGTGCAGAACCTTACATTTATCAACATTAAACCTCATTTGCCGCATAGTTGTCCAATTAAACAGAGCATTGAGGTTTATAAATATATTAAAAAGTAAGGGTCCCAACACTGAACCTTGGGGTACACCACTGACAACCCTAGACCATTCAGAGTATGAATCATTAACAATTACTCCACTATAAGCTGGTGGTAAGCGGATGTACTGTATGTAACAATGGCTTTGTTACCATGGTAACCAAATGTAAACAGTGGCTTGGTTACCATGGTAACAAAATGTAAACAGTGGCTTGGTTACCATGGTAACAAAATGTAAACAATGGCTTGGTTACCATGCTAACCAAATGTAAACAATGGCTTGGTTAAAGTGCATGTTATGGAAAAACTAGCTATTACTGATTTCTTATTGTTGTCTGTGTCTTCAATGGGGAGATTCAACATCTATCACCAAGACAAAATCAAACATTTATGGACAAATCTTCACTGCCAGCTATTGTATCCTGACAGCCCGCTCCAGCAACTGTCAGAATACCTGATCAGCGGCTACATCCAACTGACTGAAGGGGCTGTTCTGCTGATAGTTTTCCACCGAGCTCCTTTAACCACTCGCCTACCGGGCACTTATACCCCCTTCTTTACCAGGCCAATTTTCAGCTTTCAATGCTGTCGTACTTTGACAATTGCATGGTCATGCAACATTGTACCCATATGAAATTTTGATCATTTTTTTCTCACAAATAGAGCTTTCTTTTGGTGGTATTTAATCGCCGCTGGGCGCTTTACTTTTTGCGCTGTAAACAGAAAAGTGCAAAAAATTTGAAAAAAAAAAGTTTCTTTGTTTCGATTATAAAATTTTTCAAACAGGAATTTTTTTCCCTCTCACAGATGTGCGTTGAGGCAGCACTGATGGGCACTAATAGGCGGCATTGATAGGCGGCACTAATTAGGTGTCACGGATAGGCGGCACTGACTGGCATCACTGTTGGGCACTGCTAGGCACTGACTGGCAGCATGGTGGGTGGCACTGGTGGGCACATGTGGGTGGCACAAGAGGGTGGAACTGGTGGGTGGCACTGCTGGGCACTGATCATCAGTGCCCTGATGATCGGTGCCGATCCCTGCTGTGACAACTGCCAGTTCTCGGCAGTACTTTCCTCACGCTCTGACAGAGTGAGGAAAGTGCAGTCGAGAACCGGCAATTGCATTTCCCGGTGAACAGCATGTCATTGGACACGGCTGATCACGTGGTAAAAGGCCGCTGTGATTGGCCTTTTACCACATCACGTGATCAGCTGTGTCCGTAGGACACAGCGATAATGGAGATCGCTGGGGGCGCGCAGGAGAGCGCGTTCTGGGATGACGTCATATGACGCCCTCCCAGAACTGGCCGGCCGCAGTGTAGCCGTCATTTGGCTATCTGCGGTTGGCAAGTAGTTAACAAAAGTCAATTGAACAATCAATTTTTGTCAAGCTGGAAGATGTGGACAGGGGCAGCATGAATCAGCTGAAACTCAAGCCATGCATAGCAGCAAAAAAACAACAATTATCCTGATAGAGTAAGGAAGGCTAAAAAACTATATAAAAAACAACAACTTTTGGCTATACAAATACTTCTAATGAACGACTGTCTATTTCATATTTGTCAAAACTCCCTGCACCATCATTTTCTTAATTTTCCGAGTGATGAGTGACAAAGACAATTAGAAAACACTAACAAAAATAGGGCTCCTCACATACGTACAATAAAGGCTGCCATCAAGAGACCACTTGCAGGGGTTTCCTCGGCCTGCTCACACAGGGAACAAAAAACAAAAAAAAATGAATATTAGCAGCTAGTTAAAATAAACTAATAAATAAAAAACCTTTTGTTTCCCTTCACACGGGTGAGCCAATCAGGTCCCCCTGTCAGTTTTTCAGCTGGAACTAAACCAGAGATTCTATACAAGTCTATGGGCACTAGGGTTGCCACCTCATCCCCTTAAACCTGAACACATATTAATTACGCAGGTTCTGTGGCTGATTAAGGTGGTCATTAAACTCACCTAGTGCCTTATCTGTATTAACTCAGCCTCAGAACCTGGGTATATTAATATGTGTTCGGTTTTAAAAGGATGAGGTGGCAACCCTAATGGGCACATGAATGTAAATGGTCGTGTGTCCGTTTACATTCGCTTACTTCTGAGTCCAACCATTTCGGGGGGGGGGGGGGGGGGGGAATGGAAAACTCTGAATCTTTTCCCATTTTTTTCCAACAGGACGGAACAGAGGACATCTAACGTATATGGCTGATAACAGATCTAATATGGATCCTGAAAACTCAGTTTTTTAAATGGAGCTAAACACTGAACAAAAACGTGAGCATCTTTCTGCTCAATTCAGTGGGGGGTCCATTTAAGGTGAAAGGGGCCTTGGGCTGTATGTATATTGTACGGTGATTTTTTTTTTAGGCTTCCCAAATGCCCTTATTACTCATTAAGGCTGGATTCACACCTACATGTTTTACCACACATGAATTTCTACTGAAATAGAAGATCAGCACAGAACTTCAGCTGCTATAACTCTGTATCGGCTAATCTTGACAAAGGTATCCTCTCTGCTTATGCTTTTTTTTCCTCATCGCATGCTCAGATTGAATTGTCCAGGTTTGTAAAAGTTTTCCATTAGCGCAACAAATTAGGCATTGAACGCTTGTATACTTTACACTGTATTTTAGGAGCTGCACCTTAAAGTTGAGCTCAACACCTATCAATTGGAATAGTTTTCTATATATAAAGAAAAAAAAATCATTACATTTACCAAGCTTAAGAACTAGACTGTCAGGATATAAAAAAACATCACTGAGGGCATCACTGACCTTCATAAAATATTTAAGTAAAACAGAATTTCATTCAGCTAAAGGGAAGTATGTGCAGTAACGTCTACTGATTACAAGACTGCTGTTTACACAGCCATCAGAGAAGAGGAACACATCAGACTGGAGAGAAGAGGGACATCCCAACACAACCTGGGAAACGGTTTAAATTAG